GAGAAGGAGATAGAAGGAGACTTGGAGACTCAAGGATTGTGAGTTCTAGTTCTCCAGGCAAGTCCAAAACCAAGAAAAACATGTCGAACACAACTGGGTCCGACCTCGGAATCCATGCGCCACCGGTCGGGCTTTGCCTCGTGACTCGTAAGACTGCTCTTGCCTGCTGTGTCGCTTCTGCAAGCGATGCTTCTTTTTCTGGGGCAGTGTCCCATCAGCAAAGACGAGCAAAACATTGAAGAAACTGTTGGAGACACATAGATTTTCCATAGATTCATGGCCAAACATTCTCTGTGAAGCAAGACAGTGACTGGTAAGACTGATTCTGTATGGTAGGACTGATCAATCTCAGGCATCAACCCCAATTCAAGCAAGAATGTTCTTTTTGTGACCAAGATTACTGGGATGTTCTCAGTACCTTGTGTCCATGCATGATCCATACAGGTCGAGTCCCCCAAGAATGTGAGGCCCGAGCCGAATTGGAACGATCGGAACGTGGAGCGTGGCGAGTGATTTGTCAGGATTGCAGGCTTGGAAGGTGGACTGCGAGTCTACAGTGGTTTCAGAGTAGATGGCACAGACCTCAAGATGTCCTTTACATGGGGGTTCATATAAACCACCTCTTGAGGTCTGTGCCATCTACGCTCAATCCACTATAGAATTACAGTAAGGCATTTGGTTTCATGGGTTCTTGTGTTCCTGAGCCCACCACCCCAGGTCTTATGCAAGGTCCTCGAGGAGAACTTCCAGACATGTCAATTTTTGGACATCCTGTACACCGGTGTTTGGCTTGTTGACTGTATGCCTTTGTTTCCAGCTTGTGGATGTGGCAGATGGGTCGGAAGAAAGTCCAATAGTGGACACATCAAGCGGGCTCATCAAAGCGTCATAGACTGGTTCCTTTTGCTCAAGAAGACTTCGTTGATCCAAGTGACCAAAGTTTAATGACCGACTGTCCGCACAGGCGCAAGTCTACATTGAAACCCCGTGGGAAGACAAATCAAAACTAAACTATACATGTAGGTCCTCACTAGGTCCGCTTAGACTCCGGAAAGTATCCTTTCCATCTCACTCTGAAGACGATATAACAACCAAAAACTGTTTGTATGGTTGTATGGTTTCAACATTTAACAACTCTTGTTGTTTTTTTCCGCATTTTTTGCGGTGCACCAATGCTTTCTGACCGTTCCCCTGCATTCGGGACGCATCGTGCCCCAGGATTGATGCGAAGTCGGATGCACCGAGCGAGGTGCGAAGTTGGTCGTGTTTGGGTGTCTTCTTTCGGAGACGAGCGGAATTCGCTGCAGGTGGCAGGTGGGCCCATGTTGAAAAACACATATTGGGCATGAAGCATACACCCGAGCCCATGGTGATGGGATTTCACTGGATTTGGATGGGCTACGTTGCCAGGTGTCCAACTAGTTTCCCTCGTTTTGGATGTGGAAACCGATTTCGCCACATCGAAGAATGCAGGTGCCCGCCCACTTGCGACTGCCGCCGGGGGTCCCAAGGTCGGTCCCGGTGGCGCCGAAAGGAGGCCAATGCAGTGGGAAGGGCAGCCATGGTCCAAATGTTGCGAATTGAAAAAGAGTAGATACAAGAGTTAATTAGTTTTAACTCTGGAGTTAATTCTTCAGGATTTGCTACTCTTCAAGGGTTCCATCAGAAGCATTGACTTGGGAGTTAATTCCTCCTTCAAATCCGGGCCTTTGAACGTCCAAGCCACAAAATAGCCACCACTCGGAGTCCCGCAATGGATGGGTTGAGGGGCCCTGAACAGGGCAGGATGCTGGTGGAATCATGCAGTTACAACATGTTTGGTCCAAGGTCCGTTTTGGTAACACCCCGCCTATTTGGTCTTGTGACTGGCCAGGAGATGCAGCATGCACAAAACAAACAAAATAACTCATTATAGAACAATGCCGTTGCGGAATTGGCAAAAGGCTACATCCAGCGTTGTGTGTACAAGCGGCCTCATGTGTGTCGCTTTGATTTGGGTACAACTTTGTAATGTGTTTAACAAAGAACACCCACCCTCACACGCAACAAACTCTTTCATGAAATCTGATCACTTGGGACCGTCTGACATCTCCGGACATGGTTCGACTTGAGGGTATCTTAAAGGGTTGAGGAAATTGGATTAAACCCTGATCGACTTCACAGATCTTCACAGGTGATTCTGCTGGTCTTCAAGTCATGCTCCAAGGCTACCAGATTTCACGCCTTGTTTCACCTGAATGAGAGATGTTTGGGGACCAATGGATGTGCCCTTTTGTGCCAGAAATAGCTTTATGTTTAGACCAGCCTTTTGGCCACTCAGCATGAACATCACATGAAACACCGAGCATTGAAGGAGATCCAAGGCAACGGAAGTGGCAGTGGCTTGTGTGGGCGCAATCGTCGCTGTGGATAAGACTGAGCTTTTCTTCATAGCAGATGTTCGAGGGTTATGTGAACCAGGGTGCCTTCGACAAGGACGGAGGAATTCACCTGATCAGTTTCGTATTGAGCGTCGTTGGTCTGAAAAGAAGCTGAGAATGGTCACCTTCTACCGGAGGATTTCCAAGAACAGCTGTTCATTTTTCAAGTATCTACCAGCCTGGGGATGCCTAGAGGTCTAGGAGGTATACCTGGTTTGGCTTAAGGATATTTTGTCCATATGGTTGGATGCCCTTCTGGGGGATGTGTTTTTTCCAGTTTCCTTACGCAAATCCAAGTATTGGTGTTGGGGGTGTAGAAACAAATAGTTGTATTAATGTTGCATTGGTTTAGGTGGTTCCAGCCTGAACATGTTTCTCACCTGCGCAACCCACGGCCTCCGAGGCCTTTCACGTTTCCATCAGTTCGTCCAAAACGCGTGGCACGCGTGCAGTCTCCGACTGCTGGTGCATCTCCCTGGATCGGTCGCCACCGAGGATTGGGGAGCCCAAGTCAGTGAAGCCTGCATTGCCCAAGTCGGTGCTGGTCTCGTCTGAGCTGGAATGTCCCAAGGTGCCCTTCTGGTGCCCTGGGCGCGCGTTGGGGGAGAAAGGAGTTTTCAAAGGAAACAGACCGAGCATTCGCAGTGTTGGGTTGATTCTCTTGCAAGAGGATCCATGTTTGACTATGTTGGACTTAGTTTTCAAACTGAACAAATGGGCACTTTTCTGGTAATTGGATCCTTGTGGCTCTCATTCATGCTTGCAGTTGCTGTTCTATTTGCCTGTCTTCTTTTTCCACACACACCAAACACATCAGTTCCCCAAGAACAAGAGGCATTTCATGGCAAGCAGAACCTGGCAATCTGAACCTCTTTTGACCGAAAAGTCTCTCCCAACCCCCTTGGCGATCTGAAGGTCCGGAAGGTCTCACGGTCCCACCGCGAGGCCGAGCCATGTGGACGGGCGCAGCCGGTCCCGCACGTGGAGTCCCGGTCCGCCCGGGTCCGTCGGCGATCCGAAAGCATCCGAAGATCCAACGAGCTGCTGTTCACATGTGTTCAACTGAAGGAAACATGATGATTTGGAGGAGAAGACGCTCATTTTTATTGTATTTCAGAGGTTGTACAAACCATGTCGGTCGGGGTGGAGTGTATGAATCAAGGATCTTGATAAGGTGGAGACTGGTTGGTTCCATTGATGGACCATTCTACTCATAGTCGTAGCCTTTTTGAGTGAGTCATGAACCATGTCCTGGAAACTTCGTAAGCTAAGTTCCTCGAGTGGACTCCCAAAACAGATCAGCAGTTGAAGGAAGAAGCCCTGCTTCACCAGGTATTTACAAGATATTCCTGGACCTTCCAACTACCAAAAAATTATGGTTGTTTTGGTTTTATGGTCGTTTTGGTCGTTTTGTTTGTTTTGCGTTATTTTGCGGATTTTTGTGGTTGTTTGCTGGTTTTTTGCGCGCGTTTTGTGCTAATTTGCGGTCGTTTTGTCGGTTGCGCTGATTTGCGGGCGTTTGCGCGGAAAACCGGGTCAATAACCAAAACTACCAGAATTTTTTGGTCGTTGGAAGATCCAGGTTGTGCTTAAGTAGGTGGATGGTACCCATCTTTGGCGGTGCAGGAAAACCTAGGAAATCTGAGTGATTCAACAATACAGCCCCTCAAGAAAGAATGCAGTTTGGCCAGAAGATACTGATCCCAGCATTGGATGTAATGGCCAAACGGGCATTTTTTCGCTGTGGGTTTGGCACCGTGAGCACAATCGACACTAGAGACGTGATTGCTTTGCCTGGTGGAAGAAAACCAAACACTGTGTTGCGTTGCTCGTGTTTCGCCATCCAATTGAAGAAATCGCCACCAATAGACCAGACATCGCGAAGAATTGCTCATTTTCCCCTACCGCAATCAATGGGACATTGTGGTAGTGGAACGATCCAGGCAGGCGAACTGACGGATATGGTAGAATGGTCAGATCAGATTATGTTTTAGAAAAAAGTTTTGTGACTAACGGGTCATTGTCATGATTACATTGTGGTGGGTTGATGGCTGCGTCTCACAACTCATTGCCCAGCAGATGCACAAAAAAGAACATATTGGGCACAATCTGAAGTTTCTCAAAAAACATGGCTGAGAACTTCAACATGGCATCCCCTTCACAACAGACATGAGCACCCACTCACCCTGGATTCGACCACGTTTGCTTTACCCAAGGAAGAACGCTGACGCTCGCAACTGCTGCATGAGCTCACGCAGCAGAACAGTAGGCAGCAGAATCTTCAGCAAGGCCCCCCCATGAAGCATCGTGAAGCTCATCAGCTGCCCCGTTCCGGTGGAGCAAGGGGCGCCCGAAGACATTCGCGCCAACCATCACAAAGCCACAACAGGCGACGGCAACCAAAGGACGTGCGTCGGGAAGAACATCCCAAACCTGGAGTGGTGACCGAAGACATTCATCTTCCTTCCTGAAAAAGCTCCAGACAGCCGCAGTCAGTGACCAGAACACACTCGCTGCTTCAACCACCGCTGCGCAACAAAGGCTCTGGACAGAGCAGCGCCCCGTGGACAGAGCAACGCCATGGTGATCGGACACGTCCTTACGGCTGGATCGCTGGCGTTTGACACGTTCCTGGGCGGAAGAGAACGGGAGGACAGAGAGCACACATGTGACATAAGTGGTTGCATGTGGTGGCTCAAAAAGTCAGACTCCAGAATCATAGGACGAGATAGTTGGTTGATAATAATCTGTTGCCATGTTGACTTTAGTTAGTTCTTTTTACATCCTTTTTACCAATTCTCTTCCAAGCTTTCAGCTTACAGACTTCACCATGAAGGCCGGTGGCCGGGATCTGGCGCCGTGGGAAAGCGGATGGGACCGGGAGTGGGGCGTCCGCACTGGACGCGCCGGCGGGTCCGGTCTTGGTCTGGTTTCCATGTAGTGAAGGCCAGTGATTGCTGGGCCACCTCAAGCGTGGTCAGTTGGTCTCCGCAAGAACTATATTTAACATATGATTGATATTTGTATAGTTATATTTAGACTTGTATAACTACTGTATAACCAATCGCAAATCCTGCATGATCTTGATACCTGGTGTGGGAAACAGGTAAACAATCAGGGTCTAACTAATGTGGCACAAATATGTTCCTGTATACGGATTCTGAGTACAGTGCCTGAACACAGATTCAGGGAATTTAGCGTGAAACACCTGTGGAGGCCTCCATGCAGGACCAGGCATATGCCCGCATTTTTTGCTCCCATCGGCCCAGGTTGGAGTACAACCGCGATGGATTCGCTGCAGCCGCGGGCATGCGGCAGAACCAGATGCCACTTTTTGGGCAGAACATGGCAGAACCAAAGTTTATCAAGTTTGGGATGCCGAAGCTTAGATTAGTTGCTGTGGGCTCTAATCACTCTACAATTCTATGTCCTGTTGAGTTGGGGGTTATTTGCTAATTGACCAGTCTGTTGCATTCTGTTGCTAGCACCTTGCACGGTTGCACCGCCACTTTTTTTGCACCTGGCAGTCGAGTTAGTCCGTCTTCCGGCTGAAATGACATCAAGGTACCAGGAGAAGAGCTACCATATCAACCTCATTGCTGCTTTAAGACGCTCAGTCCGCACAGTCCGCCACTGTGGCGTTCCCACGTATCTGGGGTCCACTCAGGATCGCTTCCTTAGCTGGGTATCAGAATCCGGATCGCAGCCCAATCACAGCTCCGGTGCCCCGCGCTTCTCCCGTTGGTCACGGTGGATTCCGGTTATTTCACACGGTGTGGACGTGGAAGACCTGGTCCAGTCTGTGGAGCTGCCATTCCTGAAGACCATGAAGACCGGAAGATCGAACTACAAGAACCCTACTTGCCGAACTAAGTCGTTGGGCACCACGAAACCAGTTCAATGGGGAATGGATCCAACCTTTTGGGCAGCGCGCAAGCGTCCCCGACACCCACCGACACCGGCCTTTGGCAGGGTTTTATGGATCCTGACGAAGCAACATGAACAGGATGTGACAAGATGGAAGGCCCCTCCCCGGCGAATTCCTGCCACCCTTGGATTTTCTACCATCAATCTCTGTGTGTGTTCTAGATCCCGACTTTGCAGGACCTGATTGTGTTTGGTCGTGGGCTGGAAGAAACACCCAAGAGAAGCACCACGTCCTTTTTGCGGGGCTTCCAAGAGTGCTAGAACATGCCCGAGATCTGAAGTCTTTAACTTGGAAGCATGGGGTGAATGAGTTGAAACACAAAAGATTCCGGTGCATGTTCGCACGGAGTTCATCGCGGGTTTTGTGAACAACCAGTCTGATGAACCCTATCGTTTCTTGACACATGTCATTTCACCAACTTGCCCGCCTAATCTCCGCTTTTCATTCTGCCCAACTCATCCAGCATCGCCAGCACAAGACCCGGCGTCCTGATCACTGGCATCTCCTTGTGCTGATGTCCGATAACTAAGGAGAAGAACTTCGAGACTTCATGACCATTTTTGTGGGTCGGATGAGCAATATCATGATCATGGACCGACTTGACGCGCTTTTCCGAAGCGAGAGTTGGCGTACCAACCAAACTATATGTGTGTGTGGACTCGGACGGTCCTTATTTTTTGGTGTTCACGGAAAGATCGTTGGGCATCTCCCTGAGCTCCCTGAGCTGTGAATCGATGTTGTGTTGATGTAGAAGAGTGGAAAGAAGCTGAATCCAGGTTGCGCAGTTTCTGTTGCACATGTTGTGTGCTGAATCCAGGTTGCTGGATAGAGGCTTGCTCCCGGACTTTACCTTTACCATCCTTTACCTTATGATCAGGCAGCCACCCCCTGAGCCTACATCGAATATGCTTGAATAGAATTTAAAAGTATTTTTGACCTGGGCAAAAGGAATGGAGGGATAAGTTTCTGGAGCTCCAGAATTGGCTCCCCCAGTTCTTTGTCCTCTATTTGCATGCGCTGGAAACCTTTGGATCGAACACGGTGGGGTGGATGTTGCAGGATCGTTCCGACCATTCGTGCGGATATTCCACATGTTCAGGCTGGGGCACGCTTTGCCACATGTGCCATCAGGTTTTGACCAGCCATCAGCCGGCATCTGCCTGCAGTCAGACCCAGTTAGTGGGTAGCCTTCAACCAATTGTCCACTAAACAAGAACAGGTGGGTACAGGTCAGGGACAACGGCTCACTCTCCAGTCAGCGGTTTGCTGTTGCCGACATATCCCTGAGTTTCCGGAGAGTGACTGGCCGAAAGCGGACTTCACACCGTCATTGGTTCAGATTTGGCATCACACAAATCACAAACCCAATAGGAAAACATACAGAATACATATAACACATTTGGTAGTGTTTGCAGGTGCCTTCAAGATGGTTCAAGATGAGACTACTTCAGAAGACTTTTACCATGAATTTGTTTTAAGCCAAGCTTGCTTGGGACGTGCCCCACACATGGCTTCTGGAGGTTGCCGAAGGTGTCAAGTAGTTCTTTAATGTTTGATGACTTGCTGGAACCAACTGAACCGTATCTCCGCATCTTCGCGAGGATACCTTGCTCTTTGGCATTGCCGCTGGTTTCCTTTGTGAAGGGGAGATCAATGAGAGTGCGGCTGCCACTCTGAAAGCAGTGGATGGGCAGAGGATGTTTACAGCGCTTCACCTTCAAACAAAGACCTCAACACTTGGGTGAAGCGCAGGGAACTGAAAGAGAGAATATGATCATGGAAGGTCCCTTTTTTCGGCTGAGCAACCGACAGGTTTACATATGTTTGAATGCCCTCCCACGGACAGAAACGGAGGCAGAAACGGAGGCTTTGGAGGTTCAGAGGTTGGTTCTCATGAGGGTTCTCACGGCTTGCTGATGGTTCTCACGGATGGCTGATGGTTCTCATGGATTTCCTGTCTATGGGTCCAGGTTTCATTGGCTCGTGCAGCAGAGAATCTGTTTTCATCAGGTTTTCAGCAGGTCAAGGCAACCACCTGTGGGTATTTGATACCCTTCTTGCTCTTTGATAGACATCATTGTATTCTGCAAAACATGTTTATCAGGTCTCAATGAGAGGACAGGTCTCGATACCCATCGGTCCCAGCGGCCCCTCCGGTCGACTTTGGCACTCCGAGACAGGTGGTTTCTTTTCGATGAAAGCTCATTTCGCACATGAGTGTTCACTGATATACGTGGGAGGATCGTTCGAAGGTGCAACAAAAATAAGTTGCATACAGCAGTACCCATGTCCTAGCTAGCACATCGTAAATTACATTAAACATCGTCTACATTAACACAACCAACCAAAAAACGACTTCGCATCTGAGGACTTCATGGTCCATGCCTACTATACTTCGATGGTTGTTTCAGTGCCTTGGAAGTTGTGGATTTCAGGTTATTGGTTCGAAAAGGCTCAATCCGTACTTTGAACGGCATGAAGCACCGATTTCCTCAACCATTCACTGAACCATCATACGTTTGACCCTCGCTGAGAAGGAGAACGGTGACGTTCTCGGTCACCTGCTTCCCCCGTTCTTTCGGTGCTTCTTTCAGGGTGCGATTCACATCGGATCTAAACGCTGTACATTTCGTGTGGATCTAGGGCCCATCCTGGTTTCTTAGGGCCCATTGTAAGACTCTGTAAGACCATCCTGAAAAAAGCTCGACAGAGGTGGTTTTGAGATTTGAAGGTGCCCTGAACTGGACGTTTGATCTCCACATGTTTGAGACCTCAGGGTTTTGACATATTCCACTGAGATACTATGAGTATACTGTTGATAGAAGATATCCTGCACTCCTGCACCACCAGTAGGCTGGATAACAGGGTGCCGATTTCAGGTGGCCACAGGGTGCCTCCCCACAGGGGTTGTCCAGATTCGCAGGTGTTTGCCCAGCCTCACTGACTCACTGTTCGTTTTGCTTGGCCTTGGAAACCTCCTGCCCGGGGGGCACATTGAGTGGGATTTCGTTCGGATGCTAGCCATGATGGGCTTAGGAGGGTTGATCACTTCAATTCCCACCTGGCATCATCATCAGAATCATCAGACACTTGCTCACTTTCAAGAAGTACTGTACTCACTGCTCCCATGAAGCAGGTGCTTTACTTTGGGCTGTCGATGGTCTTTGCAGTCTTGGGGGTCACTCTGGCCTACTCCGAGAGCAGACAGTTCCTGCTGAATGTGGTGCCAGACCCTTTGGACAAGTAGCTCAGCAGACGTTGCCCAAGGCGGAGAAGTTGATCTCCGTGGGTGGTTGAAATCAGACACCATTCGAGACATGACTGACCTGCCGACGTGACTGCTCACGCTACATGCTGCCCCACCAATGGTGTGGATGTAAGAAGATGTGGATACTTGACATGTCGACTATGGGACTGGAATCTTAGTTTTCTGGGGGAAAGCTTCAAGACCCTCCTTTTTCCATGTCGGGGGAGTTTGGGCGAAAGATCTGGCGGACGATTGATGAAACCCTGATCTTTTGTGAGTATGCAATCCTGGAGAAGACAGAACATTATTGAATTATGAACCAAATCTGAAAACATTAGTTGTGTCTCATCCATATTCTATCTACTGCAAGATAAGTAAATCAGGAATCATTATGGACATGACCCTAGAGGTAAACCATGTTGACCAGGGCAGAGCCTCCCATTGATGTAGCAACAGTCTTCCTGAACGAAACAAATATGTACATGGAAGCAGCAGGATGATTTGTGTCTCCCGCTTTCCCAAAAGTTGAAATTCCAACTAGTAACTAGGCAGGATATGCTGAAGATTTTCGACTACACCAGGTCCCCCTTCCTTTCCATGGTCTTATAGGAGACCAGGTCGGGTTGTTTGAGAAAAAAGTAACGCCTAGAGGCCTGCTGTGTGTCCAGCATATTCCACATCTCCGCTCTGATGCTGCTCACCCAAGGGATCATTCGAAGTTCGCCAGATGATTCGCAAGCTTTTACTGGTAAGATAGACAGATAGAACAGATGAGTGTGTGTTATAAAAATGGAGGGAGACCTCCCAAAGACTCTCTGGAAGAAGGAAAATAGATATAGGGATGTACCGATGTACCTAAGGCGTGCGTATGTTCTTGTTCACTTCGACCATTCCCAACGGCAAACCTCTTCCGACGTGTGGGCGTCGTTCGGCTCGAGGTTCTTCTTTTTCCTGCTTCGTCCTCACTTGTTCAGGAGCAAACAGAAAGAGAATCTGCAAAGCAAAAAAAATCAAAAAAATGAGACCGGCAAGAGAACCCAAACAGAAAAAAGAATAAAAAAGACATATATGAGAGCACAACTATATGAGATTACAGACAGGAGGACACCTCCGGGAGTGGGGATTCTCCGCTGATGTCCTTCGATTTGTATCGGTTTCAAGGTATGACTTCGACTACATGAGCCAGCTGAAAGAGTTTGAGCGCGACTCCCAAGCCTATCGAGTGCCAGTACTCTCGAGCTTGGTCATGTCCATGCAAACGAAGAAGAAATCCAAAGAAGGCCAGTTGAACAGTGCCAGATAACGTCCACCAATCCGCGAAGGCGGACGTTTCACAGAACATGGACGACCGGTTCCGGAGGGTTCCGACGCAGTCCGAGCAGTCGGGGTCGAGGGGTCCAACGCTCGAGCCGCGAGCCGCATCCGTCGGAAGGCGGTTTTCTTCGCACGACAAACTCCACAGAGTCTATGAGAGTTATGACGAGTATATGCCATTGAAGCCTTTTTCTGACACATCCTTTCTGACACATTGCAACTCAAGAAAGTCTTTTTGTGTCCTTCCACTGATTCTTGCACCTGGCAGTGTTGTCTCTATCGCACAGGCCGCGTGCCGATGGAAGAGCTCCCGCGTGGCGCTTCGAAACAACGGGCCAGTGGCCGTGCCTCCACAGCACGAGCCGCCTTGGAGCAGAAGGCTGAGGAAACCATCGGGAGGCCCCCGGAACCGCGACCTGGCAGGTGATGAGAGACACTGAATTGGTGCACACGATGGTACCAGCGGCATGACTATGTGTGACTCTAGTTGGTGCCTGTTGGTATAGGTTCAGGAGTCTCAACAGCGTAAACACTATCAAAGACTTGTGCTGGGCCAATGCCTCAATGAACTTTTACAGTGATACAATTATGAGTGAGAAATGGCATGCAGAAAGAGATTGACAGTGGATAATGAATCAACAAATCATGGGCAAGGATGACTTTGATACAGAAAAACACATCCAAAAAACGAGTGCCAGGATCGGCAAGGTCTTTACAAGGTTCGCCAGGAAGACTTGGAGGACGAAGCAGACGAGAACGGGTGGATTCACTGGGGAAATCGCCAAGGCGAAGCTATTTCGAGGTTCTCGGTGAGTACAACTCTCTGTGGGAACCCTGTTCCACAGCTTCTCATGAGCTGCTCGGTTGCAGGATTCTTCACATGAATTCAATGGATGTGCTTTGTTTCACGAAAACCAACAAAAGCACACACCTCCGACGAACGCTTTCCGCCAGCCGCCCGAGTTCGGGATTGCGTAGGTTTGGGAGACCTGGTGAACCACAAAATGATCGACCACTGTGGGGGATCGACCACATGGATTTTTCAGGATTCACCATCCGAACTGGGGAGAAGGAAAGGTGTGAAACTCGAAGCGTTTGAAGGTGAAACTCAAACCTCTTCACACGCAGAAAACATATCAGATCAAATCATGTGAAATATGTCAATGTCGATGTCGTGTTGATGTCATGTCCTTGTCATGTGGCAAACAAATGCTGGTCCTTCGGTGTTCTCCATTTCTTCGCAGCGCCGGGACGCTACTGGAGCTCGGGGGTTCATTGACTTGTTCCATTGCCGCACAGGGCTCAGAAGAATTTGCCAGGCTGAACTGAACAACATCTCAAGGTCGGCTTCAGAGCTGATGAACCCTGAATGGGGATGTGGAGGAAGGATGCAAAGAAGGCCATGTCGGCCCTTCTCTCAAACTTGTTTGCGTCTACCTGGAGTCCCGATTTTGCGCATCCCAGCACCCTTATGTTGTCTTGGCCTCGCATCCAAGATGGGCAGTTGGGTTCACAAGACCTTTCGATTGCATGTGGGATGAACCCTGGTCCACACAGAGGTTGGCATTTACACAGTGCTTCTTGGATCATTCTATATACTTCAGAGTGACACGCGGTTCTCCACGCTCAGCAAGTTCCTAGGTGCATGGCGCATGGGATCTTTGGCTTGTGTCAGGCTTGGTGGCACAAGTGCCCTGTGTGTTGGCGGCCAATTGGGTTGCTTTCGACCAGTGTATTTTTGTTTGTTAACTCATTAGTTGGCTTGACAGACATACATATTCATCACCCGTCGGAAAGAGAGACACGATGCGACGATGTGGATATTCTGTGCATTTCTGTGATATTCATTGAGACCTCCGGAGGTCATACGTATCCAAGGGAAAGTCCTGATAGGCAGGCATACTCAAAAAAGAATGCATCAATGTATACTACACGCGTTGGAGATTGTTGGACTACCAGATCTTTGAAGACCGGGTCACATGGTTGCCTGACCCTCCAACATCCAGACATATCAAGGCTCGTCCCCCAAAAAAACATATCTCAGTCTCACTTAACAAGCCATATCAAGCTATATATTATTATATATATATATACCTAGACCCGCAAAAGACGTATTTTTTTTCTGGTGAGGGCAATTTTCAGGCGAAGCTCAAAAAACCCGCACAACAAACAGTTTTGGTGTCGATTTTGTCACTTCTGCGTCATTTTGGCGTCATGTTTTCTATCGCGAATTTACTGCATGTTTCTGCGTCATGTTTTCTGGCGAGACGGAAAAAAAGACATCGTTTCAGGGTCTAGGTATTGATACATTATGTAATATTGAGATAGATAGATACATAGATCTCCAACAGCAGAACCCAAGGGCAGTTCCCCAAACAAGCCTTCCTTCGCAGGGCTTCGCCATGTTCGTCTTGGGCCACAACTATGATCGCAGCCATTGGGGCTCTGCACCGTTGCTGCATGTTTGTCAATGCGTTGAGAGACTGGCAAACCGGGGCTCAGATGAGCGCAGACTAGTAGTTTTCGTTTTTGTTTGTGCTTTGGTGTGAAACACCGTGTTTTCCCCTGAAACGGTCGTGGGACGGACTCAAGGAAACACCCATCAAAGACTGCAGTGATAGGCGAGAGTAGAAGCGAGCAATCTCTTGCACCCAAAACACCTTTCGGACAGAGAACGGCTTTCGAGCGGCTGAGACGGAAAGGCAGACGTTTGCAAACCCAGCCCTTTTCTGATCTTATACAACAAACTGTTGCTTAGAATTCAACATTGCGACTAAAAAAATTGATTTCCTCACATGTTATAAACAAGTCTTCCATTGGAGAGAGCCTGTTTTCAAAATTTTAAAAAGTAAAATAAAGGTCAGTCTCTAAAGTCAAAGCCAAAGTCAAAAAAACAGTCAAATCAGACAGTTTCAGAAAGTCTAAAAAACAACGTCAATTTGCACAGATCCGACTTTTTGTTGACTTGACTTGTTTCGACTTTTTTTTATGTTTTCGAGTGGTTGACTTTTGTTGACTCTATTTTTATTGTTATTTGACTTGTTGTTTGACTTTGTCAAGTTGTTTTGTAATGTTTTGTAATGGTGATATTTTTGTTTTACGTTTTTGACTTTTTTTGTGCCTTTGTTTTGACTTTTTCGAGCAGCGGTATATTTTTGACGTTTTTTTTTCACTTGTGTTTGATTTTTTTGACTTTTCGATTTGACATGTTTTTTGACTTTGACTTTTCCATTTGATGTGTTTATTTTTTTTTAACCGAGTATTCTGGCCTTACCATATGAAAGATGTTTATAACTCAAATGTCTTCCTATGTCTTCCTGATTGTCAAGATACAAACACCTATGACTGGTCACTAGTGACAATCAATCACGGTAATGCAAAACCTTTGTTTTGCCAAGTGGACCTGAAGGCGCATCCAGGTCTCATGATCAGATCAAAGTGCTTGGTGCCGAAGTGCACCCCCCCCCCCAGGCTATTATGGACCTTGAGACATCACCCCGTGGGGTTTTGAGAGTCCATGTGGTCCTCTGCAGGAGGTTCAGGAGGGAGGTTTAGCCACCCGCCATGTTCGATCCTCGAATTGCGGGTGCGGGTGCTCCATCATCCTCGGACTGCTGCTGTGTGCACAGAGCATGTCGGACAAGCCAAACAATGATGTTGCTATATATATATTTGTCAATAGGGATGAGGTCCCAGTATAGCTGCTATACAGGTACATGCCATATACTTTTGGCTCAAGTGCCCAACCAGGTAAAAAGGAGCTTTAGCGCGCGAGCTTCATGTTGAACTAAGGGCTAGAACGGGGCCAGGGCACACTTTTCATCCGTTCGCAGGTTATCAGCCGTATCCAGACTCCTTTGAGCTGGGTACGAGCTACGGCCTTACACAACACCATCTAAACGCACACGCATCGGATAGATCAGTTACCCTCAGTCACTGAAGATGGACCAATCCGACGCCAGCACTGCATCCTTTGGAGCAGCTGCTGCGGCCGCAGATCGGATGAGTGCATCCCACAACTCTAGTCCAGGTACGATCGAAGCGGAGACTCTGACAGTGGTGAGAGAAGTTGCGACAGGTAGAGCACGAAGTCGTTCCCCGTCAGCGCAATCGACACCACCGGGGGGGACACCGAGGTCAGGCCGTAGCCCTAGGGAGACAAGGAGGAGGACTGACACCGGAGCAGTGAGAGTGTTAGCATTGGAGGATGGGTCAACTGTACCAGTACCGTCGGACAGCGAAGCTGGAGATGGAGCAAGGGCAAGCACTGACAACCTACATCTAGCACGGGCCGATGGAGACCTCAATGCGAAGTGTGCACAACTACTTGCCGAAGTGCATATGTTGAACCACCAAAACGCATGGATGGTCGAATGTGAGCAGAGACAGAACCAGATTATACAACACGAGACCGAAGTCCACGAAGTAGTGATGGCACACCTCGAAGAATGTTATGTCGAAGGATATGGAAATCAACGAAGAATCTCCCAACTTACAGAATCCAGAGACTGTTTGCTCTCAGCAGCACACGATTTGCAATACCAGATTGACACTGATCGTGTGGCAATGCGGGATCGTCTCACCCAGTTAGGGGAGTACGCTGATCGCAACAGCGCAGAGATGGTTAGTCAAGTTGTGAACATCGGCACGGAAGAGATCCAGGCTATATCGGCGGAAAGAGATCGAGCCGTAACCGAGGTCATGGCTACAATCGCGGATGCTGAGAACGTCAAGGATCTGTGTAGACAGGAGTTAGTCGGAATACAAAGACAGAGTGCCAGGAACAAACACGAATATGCTGAAGAGATGAAGATGAGGGAAGCAATGTATACAAGCAAGATCAAATGGTTATCAGAAGAGAATGAGGAGCTCAACAACCGATCTAATAATCAGGACAATTTCATCATGACCATCAGGGAGCAATTGAAGAAGGCGAACGAGGAGTTGACACAGGCGAGGATTCAAGGATCCGATCGACCGTCTCAACCATCCAACGCCGAACTCAAGAAAGCCGAAGTCAAGGTGAACATGTTGGAAGAAGACATTCTACGTAAAGAGAGGATGCTGAAACGTCTTCAGGAAGAATTGATCGAATCAAGCGCAAGTGAAGCACAACTGAAGGTCGCACTGAAGTTGAAACCACCAGACATGGGATCAGAACCCAATGTGGAGAACGAGATGATGACCAAGCTTAGAGCGGAACTTGGACGTACCGAAAAGTCATTAAAGTCCGAGGAGAAAGAGGCAATGGAGTACTACGAAGGTATGATGCAGAACCAACAGGACATGATGGAATTCGAAGCGCACGCAGCACGGCTCAGAGATGAGAGGAATAAGTACCGGAGGAGGTACGAAGAGGAGCGCTTGAATGCTGAGAATGCAGCCGCAACCGAGCATGGTGCCGCTTCATCCTCCAGCTCAGGTGGCTCCAAGATATCTCGGAAGGAACACGAGAAGATCAACATCCCTGCATGGCCCAAGATACACGACCTGGAGGTTTGGAAATCCCAGGTTGTAGCGGCAGTCGTGACGGCATCGGGCGACGAAAGACAAGAAGACTGGATCCAGTGGCTCTCGGATGCCTTCAGATCACCGTACGACCCATTTCTGCTCGAGACATCAGGCGAAGCAAGATTCGCTAGCATAGACGCTAAGCTAGGTATCACCCTACATACGATCATCCACGCAGCAGGTGAGAGATCTCATGACGTACAACTGAAGGTGAGGCAGATGATGCAGAGACGTGCGAGAGGCACAACTCCTGGAATGGTCAAGGGACGAGAAATGTTAGCGTTGATCGTCGATAGCTTCCGGAGTGCCGACAACGTCGATGTGATGTATGCATCCAAGCACTTATTCGATCTAAAGTTCCCTGGGGATAATCAACTATCCAGATTCCTTGGACAGTGGGATGAGATCATATCAGGTATGGATGCGGATGACATGCTTCCTGACAAAGCACTCCGCAACCTGCTTTGGGACAAGATTAAGGATTCCAAAGTTATGGCGTTAGACTTGTCCGTGTACGACAACATGTTGGATAAGGATCCGGATAAGACCTACCAGAGGTTACGAGAGATCATGGCGAAGTGGATACGGAAATCAATCGAGACCACAAACAAGAAAGAAAGGGAAAAAGCTTTTGGGAACCTCGTGAAAGCCACACCAGCGGCGGAGAAGAAGGACCCTAAAGCGAAACCCAAGAATACCAAGGCCGATCCACCGAAGCATGACGCCGCTCCAGTACTTCCTCAGGCTAATCCGAAGGACCACAACAAGAAGGACAAGAAGCAGGATCGTGGAAGATCAACCACGAAGAGCCCAAAGGGGGATCGTGGCAGGTCAGCGACTCCAGCAGATACGTCCAAGATAGGATGCGCCTTCCACTTCCATGGGAAAAACGGATGTTCTAGAGGAGACAAATGCAAGTTTAGTCACCAAGAGAAGCACAAAAGTTCTGCTAAGAAACCAGAAAGCCTCAAGGGTGACAGATCAAAGAGTCCTGGTGGCAGGAGCAGTAGCCCTAAGCCAATGAAGGATCAGGTCTGTTGGAATTGGCAGAAAGGATCGTGCAAGTTCGAGGACAAATGTCGACGTCAGCATCACGCTGCTCCTGCTACAAAACAAGAAGCTAAAGGCAAAGCCAAGCCCAAACCGGCTGCGCCAGCCTTCATGCTTTGCGGAGACATCGAGAGTGATGGCGAGGACGTGCAACCCGCACTTCCCAACGTACAACAAGGTAAGCTGGCGCTTCGCTTTAAAGTCAGATTTGATGACCGGGCGAATGTGACCACGTTTACCTGCGATCCTGGTAACGAGCTAAACACCCGTCCCCTCAGGAAGAAGAAGAGTGAGGTGCAGAAGGTGGATACCGAGCTCATTTCATCGTTGAGAGCCCTCAGAGTGAGCAATATAGCTGCGCGAGTAGCACATGCCAAAGGTAAGATGATGGAGCTATACTCTGCTGAACACATTGCCAAGGCATGGATACAAATCACTCAAGATGAAGGAATCGAGGTGAACGTCGACCTGTCTGACTTCAACACCAGCGAGGTAGTAAGGAAGGATTCTGTCAACTACACGATACCAGGAGACACGATGTTCATGGCTGTGGAGAGGTATGATGGACCACCGATACGCTTCATCATGGACACGGGATGTGGACACGACTTGATCTCAAGAGAGAAAGTCAATGCCATGGGCCTTACCACCAAGGAAGGACCCAAATCCGTGAGCTTCATGACAGCGAATGGTGTAACTAGTACATCAGAGATGGTGGACATCAATGTGGACGAACTACCCATGATGTCCGAGGCACACGTGTTGGAGAGCACACCATCAGTCTTTTCCATCGGGAAACGGTGCATGGAACAAGGGTACTCATTCGTATGGCCGGCAAATCAATTGCCATACCTCATCGACCAGAACGCGAACAAGATTCCGCTAT